AGCTCCTCCGCCAGCTCTCTCAGCACTCTCGGGTGGATCCCATCCGGCCCCATAGACTTGTGAGTATCCAGATGACGTAGCAGGTCGTTGACCGCTTCCTCTTGGATTATGGGGGGTTCATCCTGCTCGCCATCCCTGTTTTCCAGCTCAGGGCGCCGAGTACCCTGAGGGTAACTAGTCTGATTGCTAAAGACTGAGGCAAAGAAGGCATTAAGTACCTCAGCCTTTTCCTCATCCTCGGTGACAATGTTCCCCCCCGCATCCAATAAAGGATGGAGATTCTCCCTGGCTCTCTTCTTGTCATTAATATATTTGTAAAAACTTTTTTTGTTGTCTTTAACGACAGCGGCCAGGTTGCGTTCTAGCTGGGCTTTTGCCTTTCTCATTTCCTCTCTGCACGACCTAACGAGATCCCTGTACTCTTCTTGAGTCGCCTGCCCCTTCTTCCACAAGCGATAAACTCTCCTTTTTTTCCTGAGTCCCAGCAAAAGCTCCCCGTTCAGCCAGGCCGGTCGTCTTCTCCGCCCGTTCTTCTTGCGGCGTACAGGGACAGCCTGCTCCTGCGCCTTTAAGACTTCCTTCTTGAAGATCGTCCAGCCTTCCTGGACCCCTTTGCCCTTCAGGACTGTCTCCCAAGGGACTCTCTCAACCAGCGTCCTGAACAGGCCAAAATCCACCCTCCGGAAGACCATGGTTGCAATTTTGCTGGTCCCCTCCTTACTTCACCGAGAATCAAGAATTCTACCATTTCATGGTCGCTAAGCCCAAGACGGCCTCCGACCACCACATCTCCCACCAGTCCGTCCCTGTTTGTAAACAGGAGGTCGAGTGAGGCACCTCCCCTGGTAGGGTCACTCACCAGCTGTGTCAGGAAGTTGTCTTCCACACACTCCAGGAACCGCCTAGACTGCTTCCTCTCTGCTGTGTTGTATTTCCAGCAGACGTCCGGGAAGTTGAAGTCCCCCATGAGAACAAGGGCCAGCGATCGAGAGACCTCTGCCAGCTGCTTGTAGAACGCTTCATCCAGGGGTGTATGATCAGATCAGCATAACTGAAATTGGGAACGTTAAGTTGTCTGCAAAAGTAGCAGTTAAATTGCTTTCAAAAGAAAAAAATCCAATGATGCCCCCTCAATCACTATGCTTAAAATACAGCATCCACCAGTCTGTAGTAGTGTGGTATCAAGAGGATTAATAGAAGAGGAGAGTATATTGATCTCAAGAATTTTGAGATCATCCTTTTGTCATGGGAAAGATGTCCAATCTCCTAGTCAAACCAAATTTGGCTAATTCTATTCCAGTTCCTAGTTTTCTGTGCAATGACTGAAAATTATTTCTAGTTTTCTTTGCTTCTTGACAGAAAAGCCTTCCAAGTGTAACAGTTTGTTAAATTTAGTTTTATGAGGATTGGACACTGCTACTTTTAGATTTGTTTTAAACTGGAGGAGACGCTTAAATTATGCTATGTTAAAACAAAAGCAGAACATGTGCCGAGTAGCTCTTGCACTATTTTTTTATATGTTCAGGAGACCCAGTTACTAGGAATAGGCACTTAATTTAAAAATAGGTCAGTTGCCATGTATAGATGCTTAAATGAACCATACAAAGCTCATATTGGCTCTTATAAAAACACTGGTGTATCTGCTAGTAAATGTAAAGTGGTAACAGCCTGAAGACTTGTTTCAATACAAATTATCTTTTCCTTGCTTTACAGGAAAATCTTCACTGACGATTCAGTTTGTGGAAGGACAGTTTGTTGATTCATATGATCCAACCATAGAGAACAGTAAGTAAATAACTGACAAGCTGCTCTTCTGTACCTAACTAACTTTTATTAGAAGCCATTGTGGTTATACACATTACTTCTGTGGGCATTTACATATTAACGTTAAAGCTCATTAATTAACTGTTAAGTTTTAATGCTCTTTTAAACCAATGCTTACCAAGCTTACAGTATCGCAGCGTGGAAATCACTGTGTGCATATTTCTCCAAACAGCTAAACTGTCTTTTAACATTAAATGAAGGAAAACCTAATCAATCTGCCTAAAATGCATCTCCTTCTTATATTATATGTATGTTGTTGGACATCTGCTTCCCCTAATGTAGTCAGAGCACTTCAGATTAAGTATGACATACCTATATGAAAATGTGCCACTATATACAAGTATTCCAAAGTCTTAAATGTCTTATTTGATCAGTATATCCAGATGAACACAAAGCCAGCAATACCAGTCAGGAGCAAATGACTACCTTAGAAAGTAGACGTGCTGTGGCCATGATAACATGATAGTCTTCTAAATTACTCGCTTCCAACCGCTTGATAACAAGCGTGGTGCACAATCAGCTTGCTGCAAATACTGCGTTACTGACTTCTAAAGTGTCTTTTTTTCTCTTAGTGTTTTTTTTTAATATTAGTGCCTTTGTGAATAGCTAGCACAGTGGGTAAGTAAGGATACTAATACTAAAAATGCTGCCAAGAGCAACAAGTCACTTCAGAGGTGAGTTACCCAGTATTTGTTACAATCCAACCACCTCTTTCTGAGCTGGCAGTGGTCATAAAGTACTTGAGCAGCTGTGGTGCTGGGCTGAGTAACTTGATCATATTGGCTCACTTTAATTATGTGGCAAATAAAACTTGGATTTCGTGATCGTAACCCTGGAGTTTTTGTATTTTAATGACTTCTGAAATGCAGTGGTAGCACACATTTTTACTGTTTCGAACTCGTGCAGTAGGATGTTAAACCTATGTGATACTCTGGAAGTTTGAATGAAGTAATCAGCAGAACAAGGTTTCTTTTGGATATATATAGTAATAATTACAAATCAGTAGCTATCAGGATAGTTTACTCAGGATTATTTTACTGCTTAGAACTAAAATTCAAATGCTGCTTCTTGAAGAAGCTGTAAATTTGCTTTAGCGAGTCGGGGTGGATAATTTGCCCCTTCACCTGAATGATCTGTTAGTCCTTATACAGATGTCATTAATTCAAAACAAACCTTATTTATAATTCTAACAAAGTAAAAAGGGATGATGGAAAGTGTTAATATTAAGTTGCTAACAAAGTATTGGAGATTAAGTTTCTGTATTTTAAATCTTAATATCAGTTGGGACAGGTTATTTTTCACTGTGCTATATAAATGCAAAGTATTTAAAGTAATCTTTTATGCAGGTATATGGGAGTGAATAAAGCTTGAGAGGCATGGGGTCAAAGTCTCTCCAAAATGCTGAGTCTGTATCTTGTTTTAGGATTTTGACACCTTGGTACAAGGTTGGCTTGTTTCATCCTTTAGAAGCTCTTGTCGTCCACAGAAACCTATTGTCTGTAACTGCTGTTAGTAACTCTGTAGTTGTATGTATCGCACTGGTAGCATTTCTTAACTACATGAAAATACACTCTGGATGAATTCTGCACTTACTTAACTCTTGTAGTCTGCGCTGCTTGCATGATCTGCACTCTAAACATTGAGCATGTCATGGCCGTGAAAACTTTGTTGGACAGAGGCATCTTGAAAAGGCTTAACTTTTAACTTGATTTCTTATTTGTTTGGAAAATAAACAGCACTATTAATTTGGTGAAAGTCTTGTGATCTGCGGCATGGCTGGAGGAATTTGCTTTCTGAAAGGTGGAGAATTGAAGGGCCCTTCTTGCATCAGAACACGTTGCTGGGAAAGTAAGGGTTGAAAACATAAAAGATGTGCCCTGACATTCAAAACAGTAGGAAGTCTGTCCCACCTTAAGCCCTTGCGCTGGTTTTGGCTGGGATAGAGTTAATTTCTTCATAGTAGCTAGTATGGGGCTGTGTTTTGGATTTGTGCTGAAAACAGTGTTGATAACACAGGGATGTTTTCATTGTTGCTGAGCAGTGCTGACACAGAGTCAAGGCCTTTTCTGCTCCTCACCCCACCTGTGAGCAGGCTGGGGGTGCACAAGAAGTTGGGAGGGGACACAGCTGAGACAGCTGATCCCAACTGTCCAAAGGGATATTCCACACCATATGACGTCATGCTTAGCATATAAAGCTGGGGGAAGAAGAAGGAAGGGGGGGGGGAACATTTGGAGTGATGGCGTTTGTCTTCCCAAGTAAGCATTACATGTGATGGAGCCCTGCTTTCCTGGAGATGGCTGAACACCTGTCTGCCCATGGGAAGGAGTCAATGAATTCCTTGTGTTGCTTGGCTTGTGTGTGTGGTTTTTCCTTTACCTATTAAACTGTTTTTATCTCAACCCATGAGTTTTCTCACTTTTAACCTTCTGATTCTCTCCCCCATCCCACCAGGGGGGAGTGAGCGAGCGGCTGTGTGGGGCTTAGCTGCCAGCTGGGGTTAAACCATGACAGCCCTGTAAGACCTGATAGAGAGAATGTTTTTAAATGTTTCTGTGAAAAATGGAAGAGAGAACACTTTCAAACTTACCACTAAAACTTAAAATATATTGAAGGTATCTTTTTTTTTAAGACAGACATGTGAAACTAGTTTTGATGGGATTAGTATAAAATAATTCTTTTGACTTAAGTTCTTAATCTTTTTAAAATGCTTTTTAGTATAAATCTTTGATCAATCCAGTCTTTTGACATTCCCAGCTGTATGTTTCTGATTCTGTGCAGGGTCATAAGACACAAAGTATGTAATCAACTCTCTTACTGTTTTCCTAGTTTGTAATTTCAAATCTTGTTGACCATGCTGGCAAAAGAGGTTGAGAAGTCCAGATTCCTGTACTAGGGGTGGTATTGGAGAATGTTGCATTTTTCCAGTGCTTTATAACAGGTTATAAAACCTTTTCAGTTTCATTTAGTGACTGGGTCTACTTTAGCATCACAAAACTTGGAAATGAAAAAAATGCAGGCTAAAGAATAGTCTGGCCTATGTGATTTCTGTTTTGTCTCCAGAAAATTGTTACTGATAATTTATTACAGTATTCTACCAGTGCCAATGAAAGGGTAGAAAGCTGCAGTACTGCTGGTAGCTTAATCTTTATAATTTTTGTCTTCAAATAATAAAACTTTCACAAAAAATTGAGTTTAAAGCTAAATTGTATAGAAGGCAAGCTATAGTTAAGCTCTTACAGGAACAAGTTGCATAGCATATAAGCCTTGAACAATAGGAATAAGACCTAATAATCTAGTAGTTACGCTTTTACACTGGAAAAGTCCTGTATCTTCTTTGGAAGTGGTAAAGGGAAAATAAGCTGCATGAGGTTTCACTTAGTGTTTGTTAACAAAGCTAGCACAACTTCACTGCTGCTTTCCACCTTTCCTTTGCTTATATTACATTAGAACCAGAAAAGCTAGTTTATTTAAGTTAACAAGCATGTTGAATTTAGTTGCTTCTACTAAATGTGTATCAGGAAGAGTAACTTGTAGCATTTTGTGGCAGCAGCGGAGGTGAGAGTTAATTGCTTAGCAAAATAGAATTTCCCTTTCTGAATATCCCAACAGGAGTGACACCATGATGCGTGGCTAGTCTTGAGACAGACAGGTTGAGAAACTAGTGGAACGATTACAGGAGTGTTGGAAAGAGAAGGAAGATCCTTGCTGAGCAGGAGTGTGTGGAGGGGACACTGTGTGGACACTGGGCTGAATGGGGCTCTGAAGGCAGATTAGCTCAGATGAGCTATGACCAGAACAATTTAAAACTCAAAAATTTTACTGGAATAAAAACTAGAATCTTAATTTGGAACTCAAAGCAAATAGGTCAGAAGGAATAGATAATGAAGATGTGCACGTAACTCCCACATGTAACTGTAAGATGTGCACGTAACTCCTTGGGATCCACCCGAGGGTGCTGAGGGAGCTGGCGGAGGAGCTCACCAAGCCGCTCTCCATCCTCTATCAGCACTCCTGG